ATTTCCCCACACTAGTATGCCATAAGTGACACTAGGAATAATTGTTTTGAAATTCATTTCTTCTAGAACTGACTTGGGTAAGTATGACATTCTCCTTAAACCTTTACCTCCCAGAAGTGATTAACATGTAATTTCACCCTGTAATATTCACACACTACCCAGCAAACTGGTAATGAGAATACTCAAACTTATCAAGTTGAAGTTGTTCTTTTAATAAAACTTCAAATTCTCATCACCAACGGACAAGGAAATGTGAAGCAGCTAGAGGGGAGAATTTACATCCAGATCTTGGGAGTTAAAGTATTAAAGCACCAACTATTTCAGAAAATGAAGTTTTAGCTCTGTCTACTTGAGCATGCCAAGAGAGTTGGTTATCAATCATAACACCTAGGCAGGTTGTAAAACTGACAAACTTCACAGAGCCATGGCCAAAATGTAATTGCATCTTGGCAAAGAAGAGCTGGCTGAACAATGGTTTGTTATGAAGCCTAACAGTGCCTCCCTTCACCAAAAGGTACACATAGATGTCAGTGCACTGTTGGATAACCCTGTCAAAATGCTAAGATAAACTTGGTATGGGTCAGTATGGATCTGCATCCCATCCAGGGAGAGAAGTATCAAACAGTAAAGATTCAGACTTGGTGAAGGCTATGATAGGCTCTTTGCTACTAGCTGGTGGAAACTGGTACCAAGTGTGATTGATAGGAGGATTATGGGGAGGGTGAGCAAGTAGAGAGAGCTGGTTGTGAACAGAAGGTTTGTGTATGGATTTGAATGCATAAGCAATAAACGGCAATAATCAAGTTTTTTCTGTTTTGGAGATTTCTTAACAGGAGCATTTCCAAAATAGCTAATTTGACTTTTATTACCATCATTCTACAATTGTGTCACAAGAAACCAATAACATATTTGCAGAAAATATATACAGGCTCTGGGATTTTGTGAGAGGTTGATGTCGAGGGAAACATCTTTTTTTGAGGACAATGGTTGTGCTAAACCCAGTCAGAATTTTTCAAGTCCAGCAGAGTCTAGCATTCCCCAATGTAGTGATAAGCCCATCAGTTCTCACTTTCTATCACCAATTCTCTCCTCTAACAACTCAAAATATCTTTGTTTATCAGCTTAATGTTACAGATTGTGTACTTAAGGGTGGAAACATTTTGTGAGTCTTTTGGTTGCTAGATTTTTATCCTTGTTTCAATTGTCACCATTTTCATAGAGGGATGTACAGGTGGCAGTAAAAAAAAGAAGAGGTTGATACTAAATCAAATAAAATTGTTTGTTGTGGTAATCCAAACTCAGATACCCCTTTGACCTCCAAGAGTGATTAGCATCTAATTTCTCCTTAAAATAGCACCAATGATTCACACTTTAAGCTCTGGAGAATGAAGGATATGAACATTAACTAAAGATACTCTTGATGATTAAATTCTCTTAGTCAGCGCCTTACCAAATGTACAGAGAACAGTATGGAGAATATGCATACAGATGTAATAGTGTTTAAAGGGCAACTGTTTCTCTGAAACTGAATTGTGTAAAGGTTTAAATGACAGAACTGGATTGGATTTTAACCCTTTCACTCCCATGAATGACCAAGATAGAATTTCTCCTTACAATATCAATACAATATTAACCAGAGAAGTGATGAGAATAAAGAAAATTATCAATTTAGGGATAAGTTGATCCAATACTAGATTCTCTAAACTAGCATTATAAGAATTGTATGGTTGACAGTAGGAAGAATTACAAATTTGATCTGGGAATTAAAGGGTTAATGTGATCAGGTGAATAAGGGTAGTCACTGACCCGTTTTAGGATCCACTGTTTAGTCGCAAAAATATCTGGTCTAATTATATATTTACATTCAATTTGGTAATTATTATTATTTAAAGAAAAGGTTCTGTCAGCTTTCTTTCTTTTTACACAAGTTGGGGTTGTGAAGTTGGGAAATTGTGAAACCTTCCACTATTTAGATGAAAATTATAAATGCATTTCAGTTTTATTATTTTAAATGTTTAAAGCACCACACCCATAAATTAAAAACTGCATTGTCAGCATGACCAATATTGAAAATAATGGTGATATATTCATTCATAGAGCAGAATCTAACAGGAACAAGTTCAATTTGATCTATAGAGAAACAGAAATGCATTTATGAGCCTAGAGATTCCTTTCAAGTTAAAATTCATTCAATTTTCATTGATTCAATGAGGATTACAACTTGTAGTACAGTCCTAGAACTGTAACCACACACCTTTGTAAAAGATAGAAATATATGTACAAACTTTCCCTACGGCGATTAGACAATTAGGCAAACAAGACGAGATATGAAATCGAAAGTCTGCCCGTTTTTAACGCGGAATGAAATGTAAAAAATATTTTGTGAAATTTTTAACCGTTTGTACACTAAGACCTCACATTCATTTGTATACGTGCATTACGGCGGATATTTACACATTTACGAACATTACACATAAACTTCTTAGAACACACTGTATTACCAAAATATTGCATTTCTATCGAAATAAGGGTCTTTCGTAAAGATATGGAGAATTTTACTACGATCAGAAAGATGAATAGGGTTTTGACACGAGATTTGTATTGTCTGCATTCTATATCTTTTCGTTTGTAAACAAAGTCCGTAAATGTTCGTACACCGTGTCTTACTTGATAATATTCGAGTTCATTCATCGAGATTCTTCTCCTTCGTCTGATGATCGAAACGAAGATTTCCTTGACCTCGATCGATAATCGTCGGAAAGATCGGAATCTTGTGAATCTTTAAAGTTACTTTTTTCTTCTTCGTCTCCCACAACGTCGATTTGGATCTCGTGGTCGCCCGTTGACGAAGACTCGTGGCCGACCCCATCAATCAATTGCAGACCCACAGTTTTCGTCCTGTTAGTCAATAATTTTTGCAGCGAATCGTATTTTTTCCTTGCTTCGTCGCGTTCTCTCTTCAAGTTATCGTTCTCTTTGGCAAGCTGCTCTAAGTCTTCGCGGAGTTGTTGCCTTTCGACTTCGAGATCTTCCTTCTGACGCACGCGTTTGGTCCGACTATTTTGAGCGTAACCCCGATTCTTCAATGTTCTTCTTCGTTGTTTGATGCGATAAATCTCGTCGTCAGTGAAACCTCGTAGAATAGTATTTAAATCCTTCACCGGCAAGGTTACCAAAAGTTCATCGGTAAGGTTAATTTCTTTTTTACCTCCTTCCTCCTTCTTTACTCTCTTCACTATGGCGGGTTTCTCATCTTCCGCCATGATGCTTCCCCAGCATCCTTTGTTGTCTCGTCACGTAACAATGCTCCTTGCTTCCTGTTCCAAGAAAGCTTAGCATGGAACGCGCCGACGTGATCTCATTACGTAATCTATCTAAGTAGGCGTTAGGTATAAGCGACAAGAAATATGACAATTTACCACCAAAGATACTCGTCCAAAAATCACAAATTATTTTTAAGAACGAGAGAAAAAAGTTATTCATACCATTTTCACTGTGCAGTGTAAATTTTAAATGGGGCTGCAGTTCCCATTACACTTTTGTGGCTTCAGGGAAGACCACTAAAGGGTGGTGTTTGAGCAATGGTAATAGGGTAACAAAAAAAAGTGCCAACCCAAGTAAAATCACAGCCAAAAATTGGGCGAATTAAGCTTCAGGAAAAGAAGAAGACCATTACAATAAAATACAAGCTCAGAAAACTTGCTGCCCTACCCCCTCCCTCTAAAACAAAATGGTCTGTCCATCACCTATTTATATGTATCATTTTGGTGTATATCAAGGAGCATCCTTTAACTGAGTGACTGACGTCTAATTTCACCATACAATATCACCCATGAATCACACATTAAGGTCACAGGAATAAAGGAAATCATCACCAAATAAAGAAGCTCTTGATCATCAAACAAATTCTCTTCATCAGTACCATAGGAAACTTGTGGAGAACTGCTACGGAGAATGTGAATTCTAATGTTAGGGTGGAAGGGAAAAATGAAAAGAAGGAAAATGTAGCTGATTAAAAAAAGATCAATATGAGCCAAATAAATCTGAAATTTTTCTATTACAGTTTGTATGTGAGGATCAATTTGTTATTTCTTTCTTTAACCCTTTAACTCCCAAGATCTGATTGTCAATTCTCCCCTCTAGCTGCTACACATTTCCTTGTAAGTAAGTTGCGAAAATTTGGTGTTAGATAGAGATAACAACTTCTACCTGATATCTTTGAAAATTATCATAACCTGTTTGCTGGATAATGTTTAGATATTACAGGGAGAAGTTACATGTTAATCACTTTTGGGAGTTAAAGGGTTAAAGGTACTCTCTTTTCCCTTTCTTTCTCTTTGGGGTGGGGAAGGTGGGTGGGGGCAGCTATTTCCAAACTGTAGACTGCTACATTTCTGTTGCACCAAGGCTGCAATACCAACACAAATTTTACCATGGGGAGGTTGGGGCACCTTTTTCAAAACTCTACACTGCTACATTTCTGTCGAACCAAGCCCAGAATACTGACATAAATTTTCCCAGGGGTATGAAGGGGCAGTTTTTTTAAAACTGTATACTGCTGCATTTCTGTTAACCCAAGCCCAGAATACCAATATAAATTTTACCTGCGAATCAGGTTATAACAAAGTTAAACTAGAAAAAGTGTTACAAAAACAAAACCAAGGTAATCATAACCGGGCAAAGGATAATATCACAAGAAGCAAAACAAGCTGCCTCTACAGTCAACCCCTTTCACTCCCAGAAGTGATTAAAATGTGACTTCTCCCTATAAAATCTATACATTATTCAGCAAACAACTAATGAGAAATACTCAAACTTATCAGGTAGATGTTGTTTTCTTGACCTAACACCAAATTCTCTCAACTAATTTACAAGGATATGTGCTGCAGCTAGAAGGGAGAGTTAACAACCAGATCTTTGGAGTGAAAGGGTTTATTATGACTGAAAGTTTCATAACCACTTGGAAGTGAATTTTTACAAAGCCTCCCCAGATGACTACCTTAAGTAAATAGTTAAGTTTATTTAAACAATTTAAACTTTTTAAAATAACTTTGTATTTGTTGTTTCGGATAAGGTTTGGTCGCAAGACAGGTAAGAATGTTCTCTGGTTGTTCAATCCACAGTTTGTGATCAATTTCATCAGCGGATAGTTTCCCTGATAATTTCTCCAGTTCATCTTGACTAGGGGCCTGAGTGAGAAAAGAAAAAAAAAGAAAGTTTCATTTGAGTCCAAAGCTATGGGTTTTACATGAAATTAGATAGGGTCATATGGAAGGAGAGATTTAATGATGTGGCATGATCATCTCCTGAGAGTAAGTCTTGAAAAGTACTGTTGTTGGTAGAAGTGATTTAGGTTTTTTACAAACTCAGTGGAAGTCATTATCAGAGTAACTTGTGCTCAAGTTGTCAAAAAATTGGTCACTGCTGCAGACAACAGTCCTTTTCAAGACTACTCTCACCCTTATGATCAGATTTTGCTACCCCATTCCAACCATTTACCGTAAGCCTTAGACCACATCCTTGACCGTAATGTGCTCTGTATATGTGCATGTATGTATATGTGCTTTGTAGGCACTTTTGTTTACTTAGCAGTGTTTGTGGAAACAAAATTTTTGCAGATCAGGAAGACAGACATTTCATCTGCGAAATAATTTTTGGTGTTTTCTGTTCAAGTAGCAGAGGAGTAGCACATCTAATTTTCAACTTTTCTTGTAAGGTATGTTATGCCATGTGATGTTATGTTTCTCTCTATTTAAATTTCAGAGACATACTGTAATTCCTTGAACAAGCCTGCATACTCTGATACCCTGAGCCATAATATCAAAGAAGAACCCCTCTAAAATAAGTACCCCCCTCCTGCTCCCTCACTTTCCTAAATGAGTATGGATACAAGGAAAACCTGGTTCTGATGCAACTTTATTTAAATTGGAATTTTCAGGCTTCAACTTCAGTGGAATCAAAAAAGATTAATAGTTTCTTGATAAGGGCTCAAATCATTTAAGTGGCCTTCCTTTAGGCTGAAATTTTTGCAGGTACTTATTCAAGGAAATACAGTATCACTGCAGTATCTTACTGCAGGAACTGAAAAACAGCAAAACAAAACAGAAAGCCTGTCCTTACCATGGAAAATCATGTCAATGTTCTAGTTTGAGTCCATTTTATCTTGCCCACAGGACACAAGTTTACCAGATCAGAAGCATTGTTTGAATATGACTGAAGAGAGTTCATTGCCATGCCATTTCAATTTAAGGGTTTTTTTTTTATTAAGTGGGAACTAAAGTCATATGCAAAAATAAGAACCTGGAAAATTTTCATGCTCCATAGTAACTTAGGTGTGGAGGCACAGTGGCCTCATAGTTAGTGTGCTTGACTCCAGATTGGGTGGTCTGGATTCAAGCCCTGGCCAGGGTCATTGTGTTATGTTCTTAGGCAAGACACTTTACTTTCACAGTGCTTCTCTTCACCCAGGTGTACAAATGGGTACCAGCAAATGTGCTGGGGGTAACCCTGCGATGGACTGGCATCCTATCCAGATGGGAGTAGCAATACTCCTAGCCACTTCATGCTAAGAAAACCAGAGTTAAGCACCAGCCCCATGGGTCACTTGGGCCTGTATAAGGGTTTTACTATAGTAACTTAGGTAGGAGTTGCAGTGGCCTAATGGTTAGTGACTAGAATCTAATTTCTTCTTTACAGTATCACCTCCAAATCACACAGTAAGGTCATGGGGATAAAGGAAATGATCTCCAACTAAAGAGAAGTTCTTGATCATTAGACAAACTCTCCTTCTCAGCATCTTAGGTAATATATAGAGAACAGTATATGGAGAATATGCATACTGATGTTAGGGTGTAAAGAGATAATTATGAAAAGCTTACCTCTAACACAACCTTGTGCATATTATCCAAGTCACTAGTATATTGGAGTGTGTTAGAATCATCACGATGCATCCACAGGGCAGCTGTGCTTGCATGACAAGCTTGTGCTATTACGGCTCCTATCGGCCATGACAGCAACCTCAGGAGATCACCTCTTACCACAACATACTGAACAAGCTGAGATGATGTTGATGACATTTAATGATCACAGGAGTCCTGCTGAATAAGGGATGATAGTTGAAAATTAATTTCAAGACCTCGTGTGATAATAACTGTTGCTAGATTCTATGATCTAGAGGTCAGCTCCCCAGACTGGAGAAGAAAAGTCCAGGTTTGAGCTAATCCGCAGTAGAGGCGTTGTATTAGGGTGAATTCACTGACTTTACAAGCTTGTTTTCATTTATTCATGTCTGATTTAGAGTCAGAGTGGATGGTGGGGGGAGGGGGCAGGGAAAGGTGTAATATTCAGTACACAACTTCTTCCACTATTCATCCTTTTGACCGTCACTCTCCCTCTTAATTCAAAGGTATTTCTTGCCCCAGCCTTCCCCTTTAGTAAAAATCAAAGATGACAGCTATAACTTTCACAGAGAAAATTCTAAGCACTCGTTTGCCAGGTTAGAGTACTTTGGGGTTCACTTGGGATCATTAGCGCACCAATAACTTGCACAGTAGTAATTTCATGGCGCAGTGGAAAGCTACACGCAAAACCTAATAAATACTGCCAGATTCCAGGAGCCTCCCGCTGAGGAAACTGCCGATTATATTTATTAATGAATAAATTCACCTCTGTAACAATATCTGCAGGCTCAGTTTACAAATTCTTTATCCACATGGAACTCGACTACAATGCCATTGGAACCTTTGTCCAAAACTATGTTTTGGAAGTATTGCGCTTACGAAGCCTGAACTAATTTTGATTAGTAAATAAATAACTTACTGCCCAACAGAAAGTCAGATTGCTTCTCTTACCGATGTGGTTCTGGCGAACAGAAGAAGTTAGTGTATCGAACCGATCTTGCAAGTGTCTGACAAGTCACTGTGCGGTCCAATTCGATCCCAGGTTCCTTTCGTCCTCTTAATTGAGGCATGCGCAGTTGATCCATACTGAAGCGCGCGCAAAATTCTAATTCCCATTGTCCCTCTCGTGTGTGGTAAGTGAGGATAGAGGAAGTAGCTCCAAAGTCGCAGACTTCCTGAGTGAATGTCTGAAACGTTTTGCTGCTGAAGGGGAAAAGGAGAAAGGGGCTACTGAAAGGTAAGTTGGATTCGATGGATTGGAAGTAAAAAATATCTTCACGATGAGGTACCACATATCGCCTTGGAGACTTTCGTGAAATTGGTTTGTGTCCTGACGGGAATGGAACAGAGAAGTATTTTCGGGAGGGAAAACAGAAGATTGTGTATGGGCAAAGGGGGAGACAGTTATCCCCGTCTCTCTTTCTCTCTCCCCTGCTTCCTGTCCCCTCTCCATCACGATGAGAACATCCTGTCTCCGTTAGAGCCGCTACTGAAGGACAGGGGATATTCAAGAAAAAAAATTGTGGAGACAATCAACATGAATTCTTTCACAATATTGCATTTCTTAAATCTTTCCTGTCAAAGAAGATTTCGAGCCTAACTGCAACATGATTTATGGAAACGAATTCATATTATTCGGTCTGTGGGTAATAAGTGGCAAGTTATCCTCTGAGGAAAAAAAAAGAGTTTATGTTCTTGGATATAAATATATTTTGGCCTTTCTCAAAGTCATTTTAACCTTCACCTGGCGGCTCTGAATCGGGCCTAAAAAACATATGTATGCCCACGAACACACACTCCTTTGTCTTATTCTGAGAGAGCTCCTTCGTTAATTTATGCATAGAAGCTATAATTTATGAGAAAACGTCATGAGTTTCCACGGCGATGTCAGGACCCCCCGCATCCTCGAGGTTGAAGCACGCCCGCTCATTACGCTCTCGTTTGTGTCCAGCCATATTGGTAAGTTAGCGACAAGATTTGCAAAACCCGGCAGATTTTAGTCGGATTGCGGCTCTAATCACGATGACGACAGAAGATAAAGTAGAGAAAGCAAAGCTCGCTGAGCAAATGGAGAGGTACGACGACATGGCAAAGTTAATGAAGGAGGCAACAGAGAGCAAAAAAGGTGACAAAGTAGATCTTACAAGTGAAGAAAGAAATCTACTTTCTGTAGCTTACAAGAATGTGGTCGGAGCGAGACGCGCTTCTTGGAGGGTTGTGTCAGCTTTGGAGCAGAAACATGAAGGAACTGAAGACAAAAAGCTGGCTATTGAAGAGTATAGGAAGAAAATCGAGAAGGAATTAATAGATATCTGCGATGTTGTCCTGGTGAGTCCACCACCCTTCCTTGGTGTCTGAACGTACTCGTCCTTCACGGAAGTTATTGTAATTCCTCAGTGCTAATTTTTATGGTTCAAAGTGATTTATTTTTTGTACTTGAGTTTCAGTTTCAACCAAAATCTCTCTCAACAGAATCTTCTGGAACAGTTTCTGATAAAAAAATCAGATGATCCTGACACAGACCAAAGTAATGGAGCAGAAGGCCAGATTTTCTATCTGAAGATGAAAGGAGATTACTTAAGGTACAAAGCAGAAGTGGCATCGAGCCCAAGCAAGGATGGTTAGTATTTCTCTATAAATTTTCGTTATATCATGATCAATCTTACTTTCAAACTTAATTGCTCTAAGCATGGACGTTTTTAACTCGTCACCTCCGATGTTCAAGTTCGCAAATCCAATTCGATGTAAGGTCGGCTCTCTACTACGGTTACGGATTTACAGAAACCATCTATCTGTAACGATTCAGAACTCTTTAAACTAAGGCTTAAATCGATTATTCTTGTTTTCCTGGAAGAGTTGTATCCTTGTCGGGAGATCCATTCAATAGGAATCAATTAGTGATATCAATCATAAATCGATAAAATTCAATAGTAGTTCACTGATTCTTACTGGCTGGTCATCTTACCAATGAAATTTGATGATCAATGAAAGAAATACCTTGACTTTACTTGGTTGTTTTTGTTCTATATTGATAATCTTTGGTGGGTTATGCATCAGTCAAAATCAAGTATATTTGCTAGACAAGTGATGATCTTGGATTAGTAAAGTGCACTACAGATAGTCTAGGAAGGGGCATTTTCTTGGCAGGAATTCCAGGGTATAATTAAACCTGGGAGCATCAAACAATGGCTTGGCTTACAGTTCTGATTTGTAGTAACTCATGTTATATGATTAAATGGGTGCACTTTATCAAAATATCTTTCTAAGGCATCCAGAGGGAGGTGAATCATCTCCAAGCACTTCACTTAGCCAGTGTGATTCAAAGCTCTTGCATGAAGCTAAGGTAGATAGATACCTGCATGAGAGCAAGGCTGTTTCAGTAAGTCTAAGATGCTGTCAAAAAAGAAAATATAAGACTGGAAAATTATATGAATAGTATGTTTTCTCCTACATTTAACACAATTAAGAAATTTACCAAGTGAGTAGGCATTTTATATGGTACAAAATGCAAATTAAGTTAATACTGATTTCGTTTTTAATTCTGAAAATGGCTGAAATTAGTTGATGGCTGCCATTAAAATCACAAAACCAAGAAACTGTCCTCTGGGATGAATAAAACCTTTTTTTTTTCAAAAACTGGTATTAAAAAAGGCAAATGTTGCTGTACAAAATATTTTTTACTGCACAAGAAATGGTTACACTCTGAACAAAATAAAAAATAAAAACATGCTTTTGAAGAAAAAAAACATGAAATATGGCACTGTTAGGGATGGATCCAAAGATATCTTTGTCAAGAGGAGAAGAGCTATCCATTTTACCAAGTGTGCAGACCTTGCTTTTCTTTAACAGGGTTAGATGGCAATTTTAAGAGGACTCGACATCTTAGCCTGTGTAATTGAAAAGGGATCATAGGTAGTCAGGATGGCAGCAGCAAGGAAGACATCAATTGAAAAATGAATTTTAGTGAGAACTTGCAAATGGCTGGATGTGCTTACCCCTCTTTTCCATTTGGAAGCTAAAAAAATTTACAGTCAGGGTTTATGCTCTCAGACCATGCAAGTTTTGATGAGTATATGTTGTTGATTTGTAGAGGACCACCAAGAATTCTGCAAAGTTTTAGAATGCATGTGCTTAGCTATTGTTCTGCCTATCAGGTCTTCTGTTTTTCCAGGTGTTCGTGTTGCCGCCATGGTTTGCTTAAGGTCTCTTTTTTTTTTTTTTGAGCTCAGAGTAACTGGTGGTAAATTGGTGGCACAAACTCACAGAAATGTGTTGTGAAATACCAACTATTAATGCAGCTATCATAGCCTTTCCTGCCAAAATGACATTCATGCTTACTTTTCTCAGATAAACTAATGTGATAAAGGATGTCTCGTGCAATACAACTTTTAAACTATACACTTTAGGCATTAAAAATGCCACAGCTTTCTATGTGACTACTGAACATTTGCACCTTTTCTTGTAAATTTAATCACAAAAATTTCTTTCTACTAATCTTGGTGAGCAAAACAATTGCAGCTTGGAAAGCTGAACATCCTTTACCGGAATGTTGAAGAGGTTTGCAACCTAATTGGGGGAGATTTGAAAGGGCCCTTTCCTTTTCAAGGGTCTTGGTGCACTGATGTACCTAATTTTTAAAACAAATATGAGTAATATTTTTAATGTCTTCCATTTGTGATATAATTGACAATTTTTTATTTTTATTTTTAGAAATAATTGAACAGTCTGAATTATCATACAAGAAAGCACTGGACTTAAGTAATAAAGAGCTAGCTCCAACTCATCCTATCAGGCTTGGATTGGCACTTAATTTCTCTGTCTTCTATTATGAAATAAAGAACGCACCAGACCAAGCATGTAAATTGGCAAAAAAGGTTGGTGTATGAGCAGAACTACAGAGTTCAACAGTACCAATAAATATGTAAATATAATTTTCATATATTCACAGTTATTTATTCATCACTTTACAAGTTTGATACAAACCAATATAATGACCAGCTCCTAGTTGACTTGTTAGCTCAGTTGGTAGGGTATTGCACTGGTATTACAGGGGTCATGGGTACAAATCCCATACAGGCTTGGGCTTTATTTTCACCACTGCTTAAGTAGTGTTCATTGCTGCATAGCTTCCTTTTGTATTCATTAATTAATCCACAGTTCACACGTATGATTTCCATATATCCATGATCAGTACTGATAAACTACTTACAACAACCTGATCACAGGACTTTACTTACTATTAACTACTCACAATACAGAAATCACAAAATGATGCTAATAATATTTTTTAGTATATACTAGAACAGTGGATTTTGCTGAAGGTACACCCCAGCCAGACAAGGTTCAAATTCCCCACCCCCTGGGCACATACAAGGATCAAATGCCTGTAGGTTGAAGGGGGGGAAGGGGTGATGAACCTTGAAATTGATTGGTGTGTAATGTCTGTGGCATTGGGAGTGTCAAAAAATTAACTGTTTGGCAGAAGCAAAACTTCAGGGGAAAATGTGAAAGACAATTTTTGACAGGGGTCTTTGAAGGATAAATTTCTCAAAAAATAAATACTAGGTTCCTTTAAGTAAAGAATGTTTTTGCACATAAGCAAAAGCTTAGATTTCTTGCCCATCAAGTGGTGTGAAACCATCTTTGTTAAGAGACCTTTTAAGTGATTTAAACAATAGCTAAGCAGCTGAATGTTACTTGGCTTGGAATCTCCATTCCACAAAGCTGTTTATAGTTTCACTGATGGCCAGTCACTTCAGCAGCAATCAATCCACCAAGAGTAAGAAACTTGCTTCTTGTGTCCAGTGCCCTGCTACATACCACTTAGTGAATGAACTAGAGTTTTCCTCTGAAGCAACAAATGTAGAGCAACTTTCTAAAGACTCCACTTGTGATATCCTGATTTCCTTCAAAAACTTCTTTCTCCAAAATTTGAGTTGCCAAACTCAAGGTTTGGCTTATCTGCCAGTGGCACTCATCTGTCAGTGTTTGCAGTAATAATAATAAAAGGGTGTTCTCAGAAACAAAAAACTAAGTTGGCTTCTTTCAGAAGTGTAAACCATG